TCGAAATAATGTCGCTATTGGGACAGGAAACGATTTGTTAAAAGTCGATCGCTAGTTAATACATGTACGTTTGTAAGTGTATAGAGATAATCTAACCTTTGTCGATTGCGCCGTTCGGACATAGCTTGTCAATTCTTATTTACCATTTAATAAAATCCCCAAAGGAATGCAGCGGGAGTGGTTGACACTGCAGGTGATAGTTCGAAACATATGGTCACGATAATTGAATGTTTGTGTGCCACAAACGGCATTATCGTGAATTAATACGTAATAAATATTGTATTTATATTGTTGTGAGCTGTACGATGATAAATAAAGAATTACAGTATCTTCAACTTCTGTGAATGCTGTTTTAAAAGTACATTGGGCTTTAATATGAATAAAAATAAATACATGTAACGGTAAAACACGAAACACAGCCTTGTACTGTTTATAAAATTAAATATGAGATGACGGGGTAAACGTACCTTTTTTTTTAAATTATTGAAGTGCGTTTAAATTATATTAAAAATATTAATATAATTTAAACGCACTCCGCAAGCATTATGAAAGAAATACGACTCTCAGTTTCGTTGAATTTTTTTCCCTATTGTTATTGCTTTAAACATTCTTTCATCAAAGTCCATTAAGAGAGGTCATGGTCCAGTCTACAAATGAGTAGTAACCAGCTTGATGGAGCTGCTGGTATTTCAAAGTTAGACCACCGGCGCTTTGATATCTTTCATATTTTTCTTAGGAATCATGATTCAATCTTACAACAGTGTCATTACTGCGATGCGCATTCTGTATTTATATATACCTACTTATTAATGTCCAAATTATTCCATACGATAATATATGATATAGGAACAGGCGTTACTTGCAGGTTCTAATAAAAACAATAAATTTATGAGTCTCTTATATTTGATAGCGTCCATGGTGCCGGCCTGTTTGCCCGTTCCGCTGCAGCAGACAACTGGAACTAAATCTCCATTTAATCTTATTAATAGACTTGTAAATACTAGGTACGTTTCATCAGTTCAAATAAAGCATTTTTCTTACGCTTGTCTCGTAACCGTGATAAGTATAATCTATGGGTAATTAGGTTGTAATATATTGAGCTTCGATGTTATTCCATGTTTCCTTTGCCTCATTAACGGAGCGTTAGTCTTGCTTTACGGATCTTTAGTAAGCCGTTTTTATTTATCCCCTGTTTAGTTCGAACCGCCTATAGTTTGGGATCGGGAAAAATTTAAATATTACCGTATACATTTTAACTCTAAACACAGGGCTTTTTACAATGAGGTGCTGTATAATGTTCAAATATATTGGTTCCAGAACATGGCCTGACGTTAATATTTTGAAAAAAAAAATCACTAACTTTTTAGAAGAAACCGACGATTTAGAATAATCGTGCTTCAGAGCAGTTTGTGGGGAAGGCCTCTAACAGGTTGAAATTATGATGACGAAGATATAATTTATTTAACAACGGCAGATAAAGGCAGAGTTTCTATAATTATTCTATAAATTAATATTGAAAAAGGAATAAAATTATTGGCCCATTTATTTATTGGCGTGCTCAGCGGTAACGTGTGTGGGTCGTTTTTGCTTCGAACTAACTAATGACCGGCGTACGTTGCATTGTAACGTCTTTTTTTAAAGTTTTCGCTAATGAAAGCAGAACAACTTCCCAAAGTTTCATCACGATTAGACTCATTAAAATACATATTAGACTAATGGTTCAGGAGCTAGAGGACGAACATTTATTTTTATCATCACTACATAGTATAAAACGAAATCGTCCCGCTGTCTGTCTGTCCCTATGTATGCTTAGATCTTTAAACCTACACAACGGATATTGATGCGGTTTATTTTATTAGATAGAGTGATTCAAGTGGAAGGTTTATATGTATAATACATGGCACCCGCGCCAAGCCGGAGCGGGTGGCTAGTTTATAGTAAAGAAGAAGTGTAATAAACACTTCAATTACTTAATAATTTTTTATCTAAAATTAATCTAATGTGTGATCACTTGTTGTAAATATTTTGTTTTTTTTTAAGTTTTTTGTTTCAGATTCGAACACTTGTCATCTCAAGGGTTAAGTTGCCAACAAAGCTACTGAACTAACAACTGGTTTCTTTCCCACCGCATGGACTTATAGAAAGCATTATGAAAGAAATACGACTCTCATGATGACCACCTGCGTCAAAATTGTATGCTTTTTATTAGCGTGCTAATAATAGTCAGATAAGCCAACTTGATGCCGTTATAAAGTGTTGCCTATGTTTGGCTCCATCTAGTCGTTTGAGCGCGGCGAATTATTTGTTCGCTTCATCAGCATAGTCGAGTGGACGGACGCCGATCGATGGATCGTTTCAATACTTGTTAGTTAGTCAGTTTTTCGAAAAACTAGACAATATCAATGGCTTTTATTAATTTTCCGCACGTTTTTAATTTTTGTTTCTCCGTAATTATTTTTATTTTAGCGAGGTCTTATATTTGGGATAATTGACACTACTCCGGTTAGAAGTACTTGCACCATGCGGTAAGAAAAAGAAATAAATTTTTCTGTACGTGTTTTAAAACTAATCCCAAAATAAGCGAAGCTCGTACTTTGTAACTGGTTAACATTTAAAATACTTTTCTTTTATAAATACATACATATCAAATATGTATAGGCACTCGGACACTATGTTCATATTTACATGTTTTTCCAGCGATCGAACCTACACCCTTTGGCGCAAGGGACAAGTTTATTATCCACCACGCCAATTGGGGCGTCAGAGCGTGAATTGTGCAAAAATAGATCTTCTGATTGCGACGCACATCTCATCTAATCTCTATCGCTCAAAACCTTCAAATTAACCTATCGTTACACCTCAGCAAAGTTCAAGTCAAGTTGAATTGAATATATATGAAGCCCGGTTTGTAATCCGTATTTAAAGTACATGTAGATAGATAAGATAAAGCTCAACCAAAACTTACTAAAATAATGCGCATATAGAGCAAAACACAATAGTTCCAAGCATATGAAAAATCAATAAAAACCAAAAATTTTAAACACTGTTTCTCTGCAAGATGGAAAAAATATTTTGACGTATTAATAGTATATAAGATAATGAATAACCTCTATGACTGTCCTGAATTAACTAGCCGTATTAGAATAATGTTTCCTAGGTGTAAATATAGATTACAATATTATAATCTGATGCAGAAAATTTTACAACTAAGGAAACATGGTCAGGTAACCAGTAAATCGATTAATGAGGACCACCAATAAATCGATTAATTAGGACCTATAAACATTTTGCAAAACAAATTGACCTTGATGAAGACTCGGCACTAATCTGGAAAATTTAAGAAAATTCTTTATTTTTATATTATTGATAAGGATTATGGAATAGCATGTACCTATGTTGTAAGCCGTATCGTACATAATTCTATAAAAATGCATGCCTATAGTTTAGATCGATATACCTACCTATAAGTAAATTTTTAATGTGCAAGTACTATGTCAATAAGTATTTATTGTGTGTCATTTTATTTGGTAGACCATGATAAATAAATAAATAGAAGTGTTTAATAAATATTTTAATATGGTCTTATAGGTGTGATCGTTACATGAGAAACATCTTATTGGCCAGGTTTTTTTTCCACTGGCCACTTCCCTGGCGTCAACCCTTCTTAGGAATAAACACCCAGATCTGAAACAATTATCTGTGAGTCATAAAAATTCTTAGTTTTTTCACGAGTGCGCAACCGACTCATTTTCAGTCGTCAATCTTTTCACTTGATGACCACGTAGTGTAAATGTCATATAACGTGATTATTAGTGTAAATTTGTTTATTTCTTGACCGGTAAGTATACGTAATGTATAGAATATTATAATAAAACAAAAGGGATACAAAAAATATATAACTATTATTGTTATACATTATCAAAGTGTGTAAGTTTAAAAGGATATATTGTAGCTGAACAAATTACCTTAAATTGTTTGTACATAGGAAAGTTGTAAATACCTGAGATAGACGACTAACTTTTATCGTATTGCTTGGCTTTACAGGTAAACAAGTAAATAAATATAACGATGTATAATAAATGTGGTCGAGCACAAGATAAGAATCGAATGACCACAATAAACTACCACTAAGCAATCCCGTATAACTTTTATACATCAGTTATGTTCCATCCGTAATAACGCGCTGAGTTAAGAAGTCTGATATTATGGGATAAATGTGATTTTCTTCGACACCCACGTAGTAATAAAGTTATAAAATAATAAAACACTTGGATTGGTGTTGTTTGCTGAAGCTTTGTTGCGAGTCTCAACAAAGCCTCTGTCAAATAACACCCAATTTACGTGAACAACTATTTATTAGTACGGAATTTTGAGCGTGAATCGGTGATGAAATCCCGCCGTCACCTGCCACGACTGTGAGAGAAATTAATACTGTGAGAAAAATTACTTTTACCTTGTCATGAGGCTGATGTTGTTTATTTATTGTTGTTAATAAATAAATAGTGTTGGTAAATGGGCGCTGTGCATTCTGTAATAAGATTGGGGTGTTTTTCACGCTAGTTCGTACGCGAATTAGCCAGCCCGGCAGAGTTAAACCCTTCCATAAAGTGCATACATTTGTATAAATATTCCATTTTTGAACCGTCTTCGGAAAAGGCACCACACGCTTTTCTGCTATAAAACAGTTTTTTATTAAGCACACTATTCATAATTTATTTTATTGAAAATTATTTTCTATACTTGTTAGTTAAGTTATCTACAAAAGCCTGTTATTGAGGTTTTTAAACTGTTATTTTTTGAATTACGAACTGTTGCTGGGGTACTTTCCCAACTTTTTGTTATTTAACGTAGGGGAAATGTGGCCACCTCGGCAGCCCCATCTCGGGAGTAACCGAACCTTTGCTGCTTTTACCAGGAGGAAATCTTCTTAAAAATTTTTTTGGGTCGTTGACATGTTGCAACGATGAGGCTTTGTAGCCGTGTCTTTGTTTCCCGCGGCGATGCCAAGAAGTGGTGTAACACAGGTCCGAAGAGTCCGTTCTGAGCTTGAGGCTAAGCAGGACTTGGAGGAGTCGGTTACCTATTTGTGAGGAGCTGAGTAAGAAAAAAAATATGTAAATTAACAGCCTATGGATGTCACACTGTTGGGAAAAGCCCTCCTCTGTACAAAGGGCAAAGTCCACCCACCTGTGGATTGACGGACTTTACAAATCTGGGAAATATTTTTTTTGTTTTTATGACATTTATAATATTTTTTTATTATATGTTACGAATGTGTGCAGATTTCCACACGTTGTTTCCTTCACCGATGAGCACGTTATCACTTAAAATTAACAAGTGCATTGGTGGCGGAACCGGGGATCGAACTAAGGATGCTGTAGAATATTGAATTAAAAGCGAGCACCCGGACAATTAGCTGTCACGGCTCGATGACGCATGAGCACAATCCATTCCCGAGTGATGGGAAGACGGGAGAAGACGGAGTTGCTCTCCGTGGAAGTGATGCGCGACATATCCCTTCGTTGAAGGCATTCGAAGAAAGTTACGAATCTTGAAACGCCTTTTATGTGGAAAATAACATCAAATGACATCAGTGGACGATAACACCAAATGTGATAGAACTTAGTGTAATTTTTAAAATTTAATAATTTATGTTATAATTAAATTTAAAATTAAGTTAATGTGTAATTTTTTAAGGATATTAATTGTTATAGTGCTATTAATTACACTAAACACCTCTGGTATATCTCTAGTTTACAAATATTTTGTTTTAAAATGAAATACTTGATGTCTAAATTAGATAGATTTACGTCCTTCTATAAACTTTCACTGAGTAAATCGAATGGTTCGTTTACGTACTAATATGTAAATAAGACGCCGCATACGTGCTTATAGCAAACAATATTGTAATAGTGTCGTATTTTTTTTTCTTTTTTATAAAAGAAAAGCGCTGCCAGCCAGCGCCACGGTTCCGTACGAGCTCGATTTAACTCGCAACCTCCCGGGTCGCGATGGAGCGCGATCGCGCTTTCCCATGCCAGTTGCGACGCCGTAAAGCGCTTGCGGTGTTTTCAAATCAGCGGCGGATCGGCGACGCGGCCGCGACCGCAGCTTTACGAGCCCGCCGGAATTGAATGGCGGAACATCACAGGCGGGACGTGTGCGTTAATTCTATCCCCGAGACCGACGCGCGATGATTCACGAGGTGGGCAACGCGTCCAGGAGGCCGCTTCACTGCGTCTTTTCTTCATTTACGAATTGCGCTTGCTCCGCAAGACTGAGGCGGCCAGTTTCGTGTGAATTGATGTATGGCCGTTTGGTTTTTTTATGGCAACGGGAGGTAGGAGGCTTACCTGATGGAAGGTGATCACCGCCCACGAACATCTGCAACACCAGAGGGCTTGCAAATGCATTGCCAGCCCATAAGGAAAGAATATGCTCTCTGCTTGAATGTTCCCAGGGCGGTATCCTGCGGTTGAAGGCTGAGTTTTGTAATGTAAGGGACGAAACGCTGCCGGTAAAGGTAACGGTTCTGGAACTTAAAAGGCTGTGTACTCACCATAAAAAAATGTGTTTTTGTAATGACACTCAAAAAGATAGAGAAAAAATATATCATTAAAACAGCAATATCAGCTATACAAACATTCAATTATGATAACGTTTTAATATCCACAGAAGCGAGTTATTACAACCGCATTTTCTCCAAAGTTGTTTTATGGATGGTCACGGTAGGAACACTTTAATTATATAGTTAAATAGTCATTTCAATTTCTTTTCTACTAAGTGTAAATTTTGATACATTGACGTGGGGAACCAAAATTCACACATTACGGACCAACTGACATCACTTCATAAGCAGGTGTTTAAGATTTATACATTTTGTAATTGAATTAACGTGTAGGTGCAATGCAATTCTTATTTCTATTTTATCTTATCTGCCTTGTCATTATTAGAAACCAAATTGTCTATTTGACTCCGCAGTTATTGCATTACCTATTATATGATTTTATTTACTTTGTGCTTTTTATATATTATTTATTTGTCATCTTCTTTATCTTGTATTAACTGATGTTTTTGATTTGAGTCCCGAGACTATTAAAGCTTCATCTGACGCAGAACCGGTGGGCTAGCCAGAACCCACGGATTTGGGTATTTGTCATCTATTATATACGACATACCTACGCGATGTTTCTGTACGATTTGTTTAAAGTTACAATATTACGAGTGGGATTCCTCTAACTTTATATCTGATTCCAGCTTAGTTTTACAGTATTTGAATTATATGCATCTTGTATGTACCTGCAGAAATTATATATTTTATTGCATTTCGTCCGAAACAAATATAGCATTTGCACAGCCTAATTTTGTCAGCGGCTAAAATGCAGGGAGGCGGCAGTTTTGGCACAGGTTCGAAGAACGAACATTCAAATGCAGTCTAGCTGCTGACGGAAACTATATTGCTTACCAAAATCCGTACTCTTGTCATATTTCACATGCATTTCGTAAACTTCGCGAAATAATATTACTCTGGTTACTGTGAGAAATCGGGATAAACTGAAAAGATCAAGTTATGGCTCAAAGCTAAATATGATTTTTTAATTTTTAAACTGTTTCGTAAAAATATGGGCTTAAATTTTAAATACGTTCCTCATTGGAGGCAAAGGGCTTCCTTATGTAACTTTCAAAATTAATAAATTGCAATGCTTATATACAGGGAGATTTTTTGAGAAGTGCCCAAATTTACAAAGGAGGTTCAGACTCGGTAGTATAATAGTTTATTGAAATAAAAAAACAAAGTTTTTTTTTCCAAAAAAATGCCATTCTATTCTCTAAAAAACAGAATGTCTAGACAATGCGGTACTCATTCATAAATACCTAAATTTTAATGTGCACGAACTTGTGTGCGTGCTAGTTATGAATGATCGCGCGTAAAATAAATGAGTTGCGTATAAATCACGCACTTTTTGAGATAAGTTCAAATGAATGTAATTAATTACTTACGAGCGATTTTAAATGTTTATCATTTTTTATATAACATTATTTATGTCTAGAATTTAATAAAAAAAATGGACACACTTAGAAAAGCCACCCTGTATATAGGAAGTTGACATTATTTTATAACTTTCATTATAATATACCAATGAAAGTCAATCATAATTTTTTTAATGTGAAAATTTGTCAGTCACAGACGGATCATCGATGTTAAGTTATGTTCGTCGTCAATTAACATCTGCAACACCTGAGCAAATAAGATGCGTCGACAACCTTTTAAAAAAGGGGCCCAGGTTACCATTTATCAGACGAAACGCGAAAGTTTAGCTAATACTTGCACTTCGCACTGGTCTTCTGTGAAGCCGTGGTACTTCCCCGGATGAGCCTGCCCTTTCATGGAACAATAAAAGGTGCTGGGCGGCTCCACATCAGTAAGCTTGGTAAACTGCAAAATAAGTATTGCAAAGGGCGAACCTAATCGCTTTACGCATTCTCCTCCAGTGAACGTAGTCCCAATCTAATGTATCATTGTGCTGGAATGTCAATTTATTTCAAACAGATGGAAACTGAGCAGAAGGTTCATGGTAAGTGAGCATTTACCGGTTACAGTCCTTCATCACATGAGATGTGTTGCAGGCGGGCCTATCCAATACTTGATAACACGCAACGCATGATTATGAATGCTTTATTATTAAGTTGACCGTATAGGATGCTACGGTGCTTTCACAGTCGAGCTGACCTATTAAGTCAATAATAATATAAGCCAATAAACGGGCTATTTGTCTTAAGTCTGAATTTTCGCAAAACTGCAACATCTCCTCTGTGATGTGCATTTTACGTGTAATGGCTGTCGCCGCTCGCATCTGCGAAGTTTATTGCCCATATCAAGTTGGGTTATGCGTCCCGTACGGCTTTATGGCGTTATTTGTCATCGTATTAATTCCTCCCCATATTGTGGCTTCTGTTGGTTTCAGTCATTTAATTCGAGCTTTATGTGTCCTTTTTAATAGACAGTCTTCGAAGATTTACTACGACGCGTCTGTAGCGTACTTTACTGTCCATAACTGGTTTATGCGTACGTGTTTGAAGAATTTAAAGTTTGTCAAACTCCCTTAGCATCACATAACGCATGAAGGGCCAAAGTAACTAAATAGAAATTCGTGAGGAACTCATTCGTACAAAACACACACGTTGCGATGATTATTTACGGCCGTGTAATAAAATCGAATGTATGCAAATGACATAGGGGGCGATTCTTCACAGATTCATCTTGCTTTGCTCTCTCCAGGAATGGCTACAAAAGAGCCAGGTGCCTAAAATGCTTATATTATTATATGCAAAATAAATAAAACGCAAAAAAATATGCATTAATATGTAAAATTAAATGCATATGCTGTATTTTAATTATTGTTGACATTTTTCATCTCAATTACTGGACTGAAAGTTTAATTTACTTACGTTTTTTTGAAAGGATGAATATTGACAATAATTAAAAAGAACATAACGTTGATGACGTCTTAAGAGTATGTTCTTATTATCTATTATTTATTCTTACCATAAAATGTACCATTGTTGAATGCAGGAAATACATACAGGTTTCGGTAAAGTGCGCCATTTTAGTGGTCCGAGTTTTTACTCCGTGATGTTGCATAAAATGCACGATTAGCAACATGTTAAAGTTGCACGACTCCGGGAATGTGAGTTCACATTGTTTTCTACATTTAAAGGAATTTCCTTGGTAATAAAACCAGTACCGACTACGTTGGGAGCCAAACGGTATGATGTTCTGTTCCAAAGGTTATTTTAAAAGTTAAACAACTTCTTATGATAGTATTTTTCTTATTTATTCACCTTAACAGAAAGATTTATTCTTATAAAAATTTGTAATATTAGCCTTCTATGCATTATAATACCAAAATAGGTTTTTACGAAAACATAAGTAAATTCTCGATAGGTACTTATTTTTGTGTAACCGTATAGGAAGCGTTATTTGTGACTCTATATAATTAAAATAGCCCGGGAAGTGTAAGTTAAACGCCATATGTCCGTAAAAATATTTTCATTTGATACTTAAGATATTTACATTAAAGTTTATAGGAGTCTAGGTAGACTATGAATGTAGATCGTAAAACTTGTGGTATTCCGTGACCAAGTGACAATCAAAATGAAACGAAATAAAATCAGTTAAGTATTTTTCCGCTTTGTGATACAGGCTAATAAGATCGCCATTCGCCACATAATTATATCGAAACAAGCCATGTAATAAAAACTATTATCTAAAAACAAATTTTATCGCCAGTGCAAATTACTTACTTAATAATAAATTAATTGATTCTCCTTAATAGGAAATTCTGAACAAATATAACTATATTTTTCTCTCTAAAATTCTAAACTATCAAGCGTTCTACTCTTTTGGCATTAACGGAGAAGACAGAGATAAATGTTGTCTAGTTTTCAGTATTATTTTATTTCACGAGGGTAGGGCCACGCAGCAGTCTTCGCTGTTGTTCGAATGGGCAGGTCAGGGTAAGTACTGTGACCTCAAAGAAGACCGGCGTGTAGTGGAAGTGTTATACTTCTGCGTTTCATCTGGTGAGTGAGGTAGCCAAGGCTCACTCCATTAAAAAGTGGCAACGCTTCTTGTATCTTGTATTAACTGATGTTTTTGCTTTCAGTCCCGAGACTATTAAAGCTTCATCTGACGCAGAACCGGTGGGCTAGCCAGAACCCACAGGTTTGGGCCCTCCGCTGTGGGTAGGGCCACGCATGTGCTCATGCGTGCGTTTAACTATGGTGTGTCATCTAAGGGCCATCGAGGTCGTGGTTTGGACCGAAACCCCGATGGCCGTCGACTGTGCAATTAGCTAATCGGTGGCTGGGGGCGGTGAGAACCGCCCCGGAACGCGGGTGTACCTTGTGTACGCGTTGTGTTGGTCTCGCCGTGCTCGGAGGCGAGGGCGAACTAGTGTGTTTGTTGTTGCACTAACTGTGGGTGTAGTGTTGTCCGGCGGGACCCCCGGCAGTGGGTCCGGCGTGTCTAAGTCCCTAGTGGCAACGCATCGGTAACACTGCGGGTGTTGCAAATGTTAATGGACGGAGGTTATCACTTAACGTCAGTTAAACCGTCAGCTCATTTGCCACTAAAATTCTCTCATTAGTTATTAGGGATAAGTTCCAGTTCCACAGTCTTGTTGTTGATCGGACACAAATGAGTGTTTTTTGCATGCAAGAAATCAGAACTGTTCTAAACTCATAAAACCACACCACCACTAGAATTTATACCTACGATACTTAGAATGCAAATC